TTGAGAGAAAATAAATGAAGCCCTGTCTTGGAATGAACAGAGAATCAATGTGATGACAAAACTGAGAAGAAATTTACTTATTCTTTCATTCATTCAACAAATATGTATTGAGCATCTTTTACATAACTGGCATTTCCATAACTAAAACAAGAGCAAAGTACCTTCCCTTATAAGCTATAATGTAGTTGCTGGGTTGGGAGCAAGAGAGAAAGACAGGAGACAAATATATAATATATCAGGGATGCTACTATATATAGATATATATATATATAAAGATCCAGGGTAAGGCACTAGATAGTGTTGATGAGGAGGACAGAGAGGGCCTCTTTGATAAGATGATATTTGAGTAGACATCTGGAAGAACTAAGGGAGAGGGAATCAGAAATATATCTGATGGGAACACATTCCAGGCAGAGGAATAGTGAGTTCAAGATTGGAGGTAGGATCATGCATTGTACATCCAAGGCATAGCAAGGATCAGTGTTGTTGGAACAGAGTGAGAGAGGAAAGGAGAGTAAGGAGGTGAGATCAGGAAGTCATCGGGATCTTGGAAGCCATGTAAAGACTTGGCCTTCAATTTGAGATAGATGAGAAGAAACCATGTAGAGCTCTGAGGGGAGGACCGACAGAATCCGAGGCACATTTTAAAAAGGTAAGTCTGGCTGCACTGTGAAGCAGAGAAGACAGTTTAGTAGGCATTCAATAGTTCAAGCAAAAAATGGCATGGACCAGAGTGGTGGCAGGGGAGGTGGTAAAGTGACTGTGGAATGTGAGAGAAACAGAAATCAAGGATGCCACCAAAGTGTTACCCTGTACTACGGAAGTGTGGCTGATCACTTAGTGAGATGAGGAAGAGTATGAAAGAAGCAAGCTTGGGGGAGAAAACTGGATGTTTGGTTTTGAATACATTAGGTTGATTTTGCCTTTAGACATACGGTGGAGATGCCCAACAGGTAGTTTGCTATCCCCTCTGGAGATCAGAGAAGAGGTCAGGACTGGAGTTGTCAGCATACAAGTGGTATTTAAGACCCAAAACTGCATTAGTCCATCTGAAGACTCAGTATATATCTAGAAAAGAAAGTTTGAGGACTGAGTCCTCAGCCACTTTGACATTTAGAGTTGGGACAGGAGGAAGAACCAACATCAGAGAGAGAGAAGGAGCTTAAACCAAGAGAATGTGGGTTCAGGAAGTCAAGGAAAGAAGTGTTTTGAAGGAGGGAGTGGTCGACAGTGTCAACTCACTGACAGATGATAGGCCAGTGGGATGAAAACCATAAAACAGGCTATCTGCTGTGGCGATAGGAAGGGCACTGTGATCTTAACAGGACGGTATAACTGCAGAGGTGATTAACACAAGCCTGACTGCAATGGATTCAAAGAGAAGGTAAGGAGAATTGGAGAACAGCGAGAATGGACAACTCTTTCAAGGATTTTTGCTAAAAAGGAGAGTGAGAAATAGAAGATGAGAGATATTACAACATGTATGGGTATGCATATGCTATAGATGATCCAGTAGAGAGGAGAAAACCTGACGATTCCAGAGACAGGGGGAACAATCCTTAAAACTGAAACCCAAAACAAGTTATACCTATGATTCCACTGGGATAAAATAACTGCTGTTCATCTGGGGAAGTAGATTTATTCATGCTATTTTTTTTTCATATACATGCATACCAAAAAGCTGTTACATATGCATAGTTTTAAGAGAAATATTTTTAATGCAGCCATAACAGAATCACTGAAAAGTAAATGGTTGAAACTATCTTTGTCTTTGCTTCCTCCCTCACTTCTGCATTTCTTCCTTTAAACATAGTAAACATTCCTGTAGTCCTAAATTTCAACTCAAAAATTCATGCTGTGAGACAAATAATAGTGTCTCCTCCAGTAGTACTTTGATTTACTGAAATATTTTAGGATAAAATGATACAAAATTTGCTTCAAAATAATCTTATTGGGGGAAGGACATGAAATGAGTAGGGGAAGAGATGAAAAAAGTTGGCCCTGAGTTGATGGTTGATGAAGCCTGGTGATGGGTGTACGGTGATTCCTTATAACATTTTCTCTGCTTCTGTATGTGTTTGAAAATTTCCAAATATAAAGTTAAAAATTAAAAGAAACCTACTGTCAATACCATACCCAATCCAAAGAAATCCATTACATGGTGAAATTTCTGGTAATTTGTTAACAGGTGAAGGAGCTATTTGAGGACACAGGAATTTTTCCAAATCATAATCAGTTCTTTTGCTTTCATATACAGCACAAACTTTTTTTTTTATCAGAAAGTGTCTCAGTTGCTTTAAGATAGAATTAATTTGGATGCTTATTGTACAAATATTTTGGAAGACTGGACTTCTAAAAATGAAGCCTTGATTCTCTTAAAAATCCTCTTACTTTAGGTAAGCATAAAGAAATCTAAGAACACTTGTGATATGAAATATGTTCTGAGGTAAAATAATATTACAGTTACAAAACAATGCTAATCTAGCTGATTGTTATTTAAAAGAATAAATAGTTGATTATGCACAGAAGGTGAAATTTCATTGCAATAATAGTTAACATTTTTTTAAAAAAATGGTAATTTCTGAAATTTGTCACTCTTATATTGCTATATAAAAATTTAGGTAAAAAAAGATTTTTAATCTTTCAAAGCGAGCAAATGTAGAAACAATAGTGTTGCTACATTAACTCTTCAAATATTAACCACTAAGTATTCTTTAGTGTTTTCCAGTTACTCATTAACCATTTTATACTGTTATTGTTTCTCCAGTTGTCGGTGATTTCCACCAGGGAAAGTTGAAAAACATTTTTCTAGATCAGAAAAATGGTCAGATTTATTAACAACATCCCCCTTGCTCACCATATATTCATTATTAAAAGTCCACTATGTATTTGGGACCTATAGATCCTACTTCAAAAATTAAACCCAAAGTTATGTTGTTGTGCAGTTTGTGGTTTCTTGTGTATGGCTTTATTGTCCTCAGCATTTCCTTGGTGTAACCTACTGAGCAAGGGAACAAAATTTCTTTTGTAACTGATACCTAAATTTCTATTCAGCTTTAAGCATCTAATTTGCACTGTGAAGACATATAATTTGAGACTTGTAGCTATATCATGAAAGTACAACAGTTTACACTGATCTCTAATTTTCTGAGTTGTACTGGCTATAATTTAAATTTTTTGCATGATTTTAACTGCAACGCAAACCAGTATACATCAGAAACCTTTGTATATTGACAGAGACTGGGAAAGGATGCCTTGTTTGGATTTCAGATAAGCATTCCCTTTTCACAACTGCAGGTGCAAGGGAGCCCATTCATAGTATTTGCTTCAAACCAGTTATAGTCACTGGATGGAAATACAATGCTATTACATGAGAACTTGACTGATCTTTACAAGCGCAATGAATATTTTTAAAATACTGTTATTAGTAGGAAATTCTAGAGGCAAGTAGCACTTTTTTGTCTATGTACTGGGGACAAAATATACTCTATTGACACAATCTTGGTCACTTTACTCTTGTGTGTGTATGTGTGCATGTTTACTAAATCTAGAAAAATACTTTGTCACATATTAACACAAGATGGAATTATACTTGGTGGAAAATCTGCTGCAATCAATGCATAGTCCCCACTGAAGAGATAATTGATAATGAATGTTACTATTTCCTTTGCCTTCAAATTTCACTTATTTTGAAATAAACATATAAGCCAAAAAATAACCACAGGACAAAAATTTACTCTAATTGCTCTCATTTCACATAACTGGGTAACTCTCCTTTGAAACAAACATTAGACAACTATATGTGCAACAAATGAGTGAAACTAGCTGGATGTTTCCATGTTAAACTCTTATAAGATTATGACTTGATTGTTTTTATTAGCTTCAGGCAGAAACATGCCACATCAATTGAAAGCATAAGAGAAAATTTTAGTCTACAAAACAATGACAACTCTACTTCAACAGGAGAGGTCAGAGAAAGGTGCTAACAGAATTTAAGGGCTTGATGACCAAACACAGATAAAGCAAGTTAAAAAAAGAAAAAAATGGCAATAATCATTGTATTGGCAAAAATAAATGTTTGGCCTGTATTTAAAACCAAGAAGAACTCATCCCAAATTGATGATTACTACTATTACTTACTGTACGTTTTACTGTTTGCTAACAATCCAGTACAGCCACCTTAAATTTGCACGTAATTCAAAAGTGCCAACACACCTTTTTATGCACTATTTGACCTGAGCTTTTCTTGTGATTTAGGATGGGAAATATTGTCCTCATTTGTAAAATAAGGACAATATACATTATAAAGAAGTATCCTTTCCAAATCAAGGCAGTTCTGATAGAAGTGGCTTGCCTGGATTGAAAGCTGTCAATCCTGGTCTAGGTTTCTGTCTCAGGGGCTGATGTGACTGAGGGATTAATTAGCTAGGACTTTTTTTTTGAAGCTGAAAAGGTGGTGACTTAAGAATATTTTGCAAGTGTGTTTAATTCATTCAGGCTGAGCCCTATGATAGAAGAAACTTGTATGCAGCCATCCTCTTCTTTCATGGACTCAAAACCAGAAAACTCACTCCCATTATTCCAATGCACCCTCAGCCTTGAATCAAATACTAGTGGTAGGTGGATCCACACGCAAAAAGATGGGGGGGGGACATCCTCAAAGATGCCTTCAAGGATGGAGCAGAACCCCTAAATTGGCTTATGTAAATATGATTTTCCACTCTTCCAAACTTCCATTCTATTACTGCTTCCCCCAAACCCGGGAGCAAAACACATAGTCTTCTCGTACAATTAGTTATTGCTGTCACTCCGGGGCGGAAATACTTGACACCTGGCCTCCCTCGGGACGCCTGAATGGAGGACGCTGCCACACACCCGCCCTTCAGAAGTTCTCAGGGCAGTTGGAGGCTGACATTGGGCCACTTACCTGGCCAGGATGTTCGTCACAGCCCAAGACCTTTGAGGAAGAGAAGAAAACAAAAGAAAACAGAACAACTTACCACTCTGGCCCAGTCCAAGAACAACTAAAAACACCCAGGCCGCCCGAAGGACCGGGGCAGGACCGGGCCGGCAGTTTTGCAGGCAGACAAATGCGGCAGTAAAAAAAGCCAGGGCGGAGCGGCACATAATGCAAAGCAGCCCGCACCGCGCCCGCCGCCTGGCTGCTATCCGGCTGCGCGCTGGCGACTCCCGGGCGCACCTCGGGGCCCGCGGGCCAAGTGTCGCTAGGACGTTGCCCGCAGGCCCAGCAGGCGGACCCTGCGGCTCGGAGCAAGCAGTGCAGGTACGCTGGCCCGGACACCGCTTGGCATCTCAGGGCCCCCGAGGCCCTGCCAGCTCGGCTCGGCTGGTCCCGCGGTCGCCGCGAGAAGCACCTCCTCTGACGGTCAATGGCCCGGGGCGGCGACGCGAGCGAAGCCTCCGCAGCCCGCTCTGGGACAAAGAAAAGAGCTTTTGTTTCTCTCCAGCCGATGGGGCTTCTGCTGCATAAATCAGCTTAGTGAACAGCCAAACAGAATCAAACCCAAACAAAGCCCGAAGCCTGGGGGAAAAACCAGCCTAAAGTACTATCACTGGGTGATGCTACATCTGTGGGAGGGGACGCCGGCGAGGCCGAAGGGGAAAAAAGTCGATGGCGCATCAATCAGCGCGAGCTAATTCTTCCACAGGTGGGCAGGGAGGCCAATTCCACTTAGTTACAGCTCCGCAGCCTCGTCAGCTGAGCAGCGGGCAAAGTCAAAACGGCAATGTCCTGGCTGGCGAGGGAGGAAGCGCGGGGTGCCAGCAGCTGGGGGAAACGGCTCCGGCAGCACCCTAGAAGTCCCCGCCGGCGTCCGCGGACACAGAGCGAGGCATAGCAGCTCCCCGCTTGGCCGGGAGTGGAGCGCACGGCCGCTAGCACAGGAGGGGAGGTTCCGCGAGGGTGCAGTAGCCCGGCCTCGCGGGGCGGGAGCTTCGTGCCCTCGTCCTTCTGGCCCCCAGTGTGCGGCTCAGGCGTCCCGCCGTCCAGAACCCGGGCAGCTGGCGCACTCTGCGGTGCACCCCGCGAGGAGGCGAGGGAAGCGAGGCTGGCGAGGGGCGGGGGAGCGGTGGTCCTGCTCCGGCCCCGGGGTGGGGGGGGGCTCCCGAAGTGTGGATAGCTGGGCGCGCTCTGGGCCGCGAGTTGCTAGGAAACCGCCCCACGCTACCCAGCGCCTTGCCCGGGCCGCCTGCAGGCGCAGCGGCGGCTCCGGCGGCAGCAGCAGCAGCAAGCAAGAGCTCGGAGCAGCGTGGGCGGGACATTGGTGAGGCATGAAGTCACCGCGGCCCACACTTGCTCTTTGTTTTGCTCACTCCAGCTCTTTTTCTCCCCCTTGGCTCTGATAGTTGTCATGCCCACCGTTCACAAGAGCTCCCGATGCGTAGCTGCGCCAACAAGAATCGCTCCCCCTGTTCCCTTTCCCCCTCCTCGCCGAATCCCTACAGCCCAACGCTCCCCTAGCCCGTACGGAGACTCGCTCAGTACTAATGGCAGCTGCGCACAAACCCCAGCCTCTCACCCGGGCACTCTGCGCTCCTTTGTTCGGAAAGAATCACTGCCCGGCAGCTGCAGCGTACGCACAAAGCAGAGCATGGGGGCCTCTCCCCGCCCCCAGCACCCTCCGTTCCGCGGGTGCGCACTGCCAACTTTGCTTGTAGATTTAGGAGCTCACCCTTTACCCCACCCCATGACCGTCCGGCATCTCCCCAACACTTGGAGAATTGGTCCAGTCCTCAGAGGCCGTACCCGGAGCTGCTAGCTGAAATTCTCGCGCTTCCTTCTCCTCTCCGAGTCTCAACCCTGGGCTGAACAGCCTTGTTCTTCCCAGGGTCTGGTGGTGGCTCTGGGTTTTGCTAGTGACAGTGGGTCTTTTGACCTTAAGCGTCACCTTTCCAATAAACGGAACAAAGAAGTTAAAAAGTGCGGCGAAGCAAGAGAGAAGCAAAGGAGAGGACGAGAGAGGGCGTTTCTGCCTGCTTGCAGCTCAGAAATTTAGGTGCAAAAAGGGAGCGGATATTAAGCTGGGCAACTGTCGGAGAAGCCGCGCGCCTCCTGGGATCCTTGTCACTACCACTCTAGGCCGGGGGAGGGAACCCAGTCCCCCGGATTGAAAACAAGGCACTGTTTCCAGTCTGAGACACAGGGTGATGGTTTTCTTTTTCCTCTAGGGGCAGGAGTGGTTCCCTGTGGTAAAGTCTGACCTCTCATTTTTCCACTAGCAGCCTGCCTGAAGTCTTTCATAGGGCACCCGCCTCTTACAGGCATCAGACCAGTCCAGCCAGGTCAAGGTGAAATATGCGGGAGTTTCCCCTCCTTCTTATTTGTTTAATAGTTTCCATCTCCATATTTGGAGTAAAAAAACAAGTAGGAGGCTTTCTCTGTCTCTTACTCTCTTTTTTTCTGTTTTCTAATTGTTAACTGAGTGAATGGAAAGTACCTGGTAAATAAGCCACAACATTGAAAACTCCCCCTTTTCAGGTGTGGACTGCGCATTGGGACCCACAGAATTAGCTAAGCAAACCAAGAACCCAGCTGGAAAATTACAAGTGCCCTACATCTACAAAGCAGGCCCTTTTGAGAGACCAAATGAATGTTCCAAACCTGAAAAACTGATACCTTTAAACACAATTCACTATAGGCAATGTACTCTAAAGAGATAATTAAATCTAGCTCAGCTTCTTAACTTGTTTTCTTTCTTTGGTTCCAAGTTTGAACAGTTCTAGTTTTGCTTTAGGTGGTCTTAAAGGAAAGGCCTGGAAAGTGGCTGGGGTGGGGAGGAAGACTTTAAATTTGAACACAAAAGGAGCATATTCACGCTCTCATTAGTCACTCTTCAATGGGGGAGCATGTGTATTTTCCAGAGATTATTTCACAGTCTTGAGGAATATAGCCACTATTGAGACAGGGTAGTGCTACAATGAGGAAAAAAAGTCAATTCATAATCCCTATAAGGACATGTCTGTAAGTGCACTCTACACTGTAAAGTAACCAACACATCAGAGTTTCATGATATATTTAAAAATCTAACTCTCGATGTTTTAAATGTAAATGGCAATTATAGTATTAAATAAAATGTAACTTTATGTAACTAATAATGGATGTAGTTTTGTGATATGGAATAGATATGCACTAATTTTTAACTCTATACATACCTTTTTGACTTACGATGGGGTTATAAATCCATCATAAGTTGAAAACACTGTAAGCTGGAAATGCACTTAATACACCTAACCTACTGAACATCGTAGCTTGGTCTAGCCTACCTTAAACACGCTCAGAACACTTACGTTAGCCTGCAGTAGGGCAGTACCATCTAACACAAAGTCTATTTTATAATGAAGTAATGAAATCCATTGAATACTGTATTGAAGGTGAAAAACAGAATGTATGTGTACAGAATGGTTGCGGGTGTATTGGCTGCTTACCCTTGTGGTAGCATGGCTGAATGGAAACAGTGGCTAGCTGAGGCTGTCCAGCATGAGAGGTAGGTATTCTACCACACGTCCCCAGCCTGGGAAAAGATCAAAATTTAAATACAGTTTCTACTGAACTCATATCACTTTTGCACCATTGTAAAGCAGAAAATTGTGAGTCAAACTGTCATTAAGTCAGGGACTGCCTGTATTGTTAGATGTCTCTATATTCTATATATTCTCCTTATTAGGCCAAAACAACTGTGTAGCAAGAGGAATAAAACAGTTTGTAAATCTGTTGCAGGAAATTTTTGAGCCCTTTAAAAAGAAAGACTTCCGTGTTTTGTTATATGAAACCCATGCAACTATGTATCAGGATGCCAGTTTTATGGAGTTGTTGAAGAATAATTACAGTACCGTTTATCACCGCTTCCCAGTTGTAAAGAGGTTATAATTCTGGTTATCAAAATAAACTAAGACAGTATCCCGGCTGAGACTGTGATCCTGGCAAGTTATTTACAAACAAGTTATCTGTACATTTTGGGTTGTAAAGATAAAAGTGAATTCTCCTGAGCCCTGCAAATCATCTGTAGGGTTTCTTTCAGTAAATAAAATTAGGGCCCAGGAACAAAGTTGGCTTTTTTCTAATAAGTGTCATTGGTCACCAAAACTCATCCTTTTTTCTATAAGAAAATATATAAAATACTGTGAAGAACTATGGTATTGTTATCTTCATCATATTACCTGAAGAATTCTAACAGAAAAAAATGTTCCAAAAGATGGTTAGTTGATTAATTCCTGTTTCTATGATGTTTTGCTCTCTTGCTTTGAAATTTCTCACAGCTAATTTTTCATCCTTTGTGGCAATGAGAGCAAATGAAATTCACAGATAGTCTAAAAATAACATTTTAGCTATTCATTCCAGTCTTCCTATCATGAGATTCTTTTAGTTGCTAGTAAGTCAGAAAATTAGATGAATTAAGTTTCTTCCCTACTCCTTTGATTTCTCCTTAACCTTGATTTCTTGCTAACTCAGTTTATGGTGAGAAATGAATAGGCTATAGATGGATAGCGGCAGTGAGAGACATTTGAGAGACTGCTCCTTTTAGTGTGTATTTCACCTTTAACTAGATTTTGTCCAAATTATTGACCTCCTGGATACAGTTAAAACCATACGTACATTTTAGTATTATATCTTTCTGAAGTTAGGATCAGACATTCAGTAGGTCGTAAGCAGATGTTCACAAGTTGTCTATAATCTTGCTTCATCTACAGCTCTAAGGAGATGATGAATGATCCAGTAAGTGGGATTTATTATTGTGACTATGACTTCTAGCTTCTTCCAGTGATAAAGAACATAAGCCACTGGAAGGTAGTTTTCACTGAAATATAACATGAAGTAGTGTTCTTCATACTGTGGACTGAAGACTGCCTGCAATCTAATCATCTGTTGAGTGATTTCTTAGCTCTATTCCAGGAGATTATGAATTCATAGATATGGTGTGGTATCCAGAGTATTTATTATTATAAGATCCTTAAATGTTTCCTTAAGTACTGAGGTTCAAGGACCCCTACCATAATAGATTAATACAGAAACTCCTCAAAGGCCTCTTGTGTGCTTATTGACAAACACCAGAGCAAGATGCAAAGTCAAAGAAAAATGAATTGCTGGAGCCAAAGTATCTTCTCAAGGTATTCCTTGAATGATTAACTCTGTGAGATGTTTTTGGAAACAGACTGCCATGACTAAGTTTGGGAAATGCTGGGTTAAAGTTAAGTAAAATCCTTTCCTGGAGGATTTTCCAAAAACTTATACAGGCTACATGCAACTGGATTCTCCAAAGGAAGAACCCTTTTCCAGAGAACATTTCACCGACTAATTTCCATAAAGCACACTGCTAAATGAATCCAATTTTATGAAAGTGGAAACTAAGAACCAGATTGGTGAGGAGACTGACCTTACTTCTTCAGGAGAGTTATTGAGCAGACATGAATCGGAGCTCTGAGTCTTGTCCCCTACCTCATATCAGTGATGACTTTTGGTTTCAAGTAAGAGTCAGACTGTGACTGCCCTAAGTGAAAAGGGAAATTATTGGAAGGAAATTGGGAGCTCACAGAATCAGTAGGAGGCTGAGAAACCAGGATTGAAAAAGGTCAAAAACCAAGGGAGGCATAAGCAGGGGCAGTAGGCATCCGGCAAACAAGAATCCTCTTCTAATCATCCCTTCATCTTTGTACCACTTGATCAAGATTCAGAATCCTGGCTGGAAATGTTGAATTTTCAGAACGTTAGTCACATGACAGTCCCCTGGCCTTATGGGGGTAGAGGGAGAGGAGGAGGAGCTCTTTCCTTTGGCTTCTTCAGTGGAAAATA